AGTTTCTGAGAGGGAATTTCATGCAATCCTTTGATGTAATGCAGTGAAAGTGCTAAGCAAAATGGTCTCAGATAAAATACATTTTTTCTGAGTGCTTTGTGTTGTGCATGTTTCTTACAGATATATCAATTGAACCAACTACTAGTACTGGAAAAATAGAAAGTATTAAAACCCCACTACTGTGATGTTTTGAAGATGTGATTGACCTGTGATGGAGATCAGGAAAGTCAAAATATGGTGAATACATATGGGTGCTATCGTGGTTATCAGATTGTTATATACACTTCATGCAACTTTAAATTACACCTCAAGAAGTAATCTGCTATTTTAGACTTGATTAGTTGCTGTACTATGGTTGCTTTACAATACTTTGGCAATCTAAAATACATTAAAGGACACAGAAATTATATCTGCATTCAGCCTGTTTCTATTATTTAATACAGTGACAGCACACTGTAATACAACTGTGCTTTAAATGACTATCAAGATCTTAAGACATGACTTTCCTCATCTTTTCTTAGAAATCCAAACAAATTAACAAATGCAGAGCTAACGTGGTGCCAGAACAACATAGTGAACATTGATCCCCAACAGCTGAGCTGTGCCTTTTTGTGTTAAGCTTTCAGCACCTTTTTTTCTTCCAAAATTAGTCATGAGTACAAGAATTTCAAGCTGGGGAATGTAAGGATGGAGCACAGTCCTGCCAAAAAGGACTTGGGTGAACTGGTGGGAGGCAAGCTGGCCGTGAGCCAGCAATGTGCTCTCAGCACAGAAAGCCAACCATAACCTAGGCTGCATCAAAAGCAGCAAGGCCAGAAGGGCGAGGGAGGTGACCTGCCCCTCTGCTCTGCACTGTGAGACCTCACCTGGAGTGCTGCATCCAGATGGGGAGTTCTCAGTACTCAGGAGAGACGTGGAACTGTTGGAGTGCATCCAGAGGAGGGCCACAAAAGTGATCCCACGGATGGAAAACCTCCCTGCGAGGGCAGGCTGAGAGCTGGGGCTGTGCGGCATGGAGAAGGGAAGGCTGTGGGAGACATGAGAGGGGCCTTCCAATGTCTAAAGGGGGGCTCTAAGAAAGAAGGGGACAGACTCTTTAGCAGGGTCTGTCGTGATAGGAAAAGGAGAAATGGTTTCAAACTAAAAGAGGAGAGATTTAGTCTGGATGTGAGAAAGAAGTTTTTTACAATAAAGGTGGTGAGGCAGTGGCACAGTTTGCCCAGGGAGGTGGTGGAAGCCCCGTCACCAGAGACACTGAAGATAAGATTGGACCAGGCTCTGAGCAACCTGATTGAGCTGTAGATGTCCCTGTTCATTGCAGACGAGTTGGACTAAATGATCATTAAGGATCTCTTCCAACTCAAACGATTCTATGAAGATAAATCCCTTATACTACAGAGCATTTATAGGAAAGCCTACTTTTCTCTTAGTACAAGAATTCATATGATCTCATGAAGATTATTTCTTCCAAAAGTGGAACTGAAGAAGTCTGGTTTTCACTGCCTGCCTGGGGGGATGCTTACATGGCAGTAGTACTCACCTGGATGAAGCCTTTGCAGTGAGGCCAATGTTAAAAGTACTGAACCAATGCAGTTTCCCTCAGCAGCCAGCCCTTGATCAGTCTTCTGTGAAGACTGAGGTGCTCGTGCCAGATTAAGATATGAAGTTTCATGTACCCTGAACATGCTCATTGGATTCCAACCAGGGAACAGGGAGCTGTATTGATGGCAGGGGAGACTGCTAATTACTTGCTAAAATTAACATACAAGAGCAGATTTTTCTCCAATAGTTAGGTGCCAAAACATGCAGATAATTTAACAGTGGAATTTCAAACTGCATCAGCAAGATAAGCATCTAATCTCCAACAGGTTTTAAGCACTTACCCAGATTATTCTGTTTAAAATCTGATCTCCTACTAACCTGCATATTTAGCAACTAACTAGCTTTGAAAACCTTTCCACCAAGGATTCTGTTTGGAGCAAGAACTATCCATAGGTGTCTAGGTTTTCCCACCAAGACTTTTTTTCTGTCCTGTATCTTCACATGCTTGAGATCATCAACCTGCACCAGGACTTCGAAGGCTGCTATTTTTCTGTATCTGGAGCAAAACTGGCACCTACTTTTCAGTATCAATGTGCAAAGGAAACAAAAAAAGGCACAGTAGTTTCAGCTCAAATGACCTGGAGAGAAAAACACTGAATAATGTCTGGTGAAAAGCACTCTGAATTCCCAGTCTACTGATGCTGATACAAAGCAAGAGTAAGTCTGAGTGTACTCTCTACTCCAAAATGTACAGTATAGCACCTCCATCCAAAGGCAGTGATCTGTTTACCAACTCCCTTTAAAAACAGCTTCACTACAAAAAATCTAGAAGTTGAACATACCTGCTTGATTAAGCTGAAATTGAATAGATTTGTATTTTGTGGGATTTTTTGACATTTATTTCACTCAAAAAGAAAAAGCTGCAGAAAATTTTCTCTTGCAATTCATCTAAAATCAATGTGAGATCACACATTCCTTATGTTGAATATAAAGAACTGCCAACTGCAGTAACAATTTACAGTCCCAGAAAATAACTCACATTCACTCTGGATTTTCATCTATTGCTATTGGAGATTTGACTTGTAAGGTTGTCAATGCTAAGATATAAAATAATTCTGCGGAACAAGATGATCTTCTACAAAGTCTGCCATTTCTGCAAAATTGCCTTTCATGAAACCAATCTTGCTTCCATTTCCTACCTTGTCCCTCACAAAAATTCTCTTAGTCTGATACTTTTCAGTCATGATTAAAAGGCATTTCTCAGTGTCTCCCCACTAAATATTCGTACTCTTTTTTTTTTCCGTTTCAGAAGCTGGCAGTGACATTCGTATCTTGCTTGGTATTTTGTATTGGACCAATTAAGACTATGAGGAAACTACTGCAAGATTTTGTTGCATAAAAACATAATGCTTCAGGCTGCATAAAACGCTTGTGAATAAGCAGATAGGATGAGTGGTTCAGTAGTGCTGGTTCCCTAAGCACCTTCATTCTGTCCCTGCCCTGGTAACAGCATTAGTTGGCAACACAGTTTGTGCTTATTTGCTATTATTCATGTGCTGGAATTGTCATGAATATCCCACAAAACATGGAACTTGTCCATATGTTTGGAATTCAGTCAAGTATATCCACCCCCATCTCCCTGAAAATAAAATAAAAGGATGAACACTGTCAAGCAAGCAAGCTTATATTAAGTTTGTTACATGACAATAAAAGAACCTCATGACTGTTCAGCACTACATCTCAAATACAGTGAACCTCTTCCAACTTATGATATCTTAATATGAACACAAGACGAGGGGAAGTCACAAATTTGTGCTTGGTGTCAATAGTGAGCCAGAACTCTGACACAATACCAAACTGTGCAGTGCTGGAGGTGTCCTGCTGCTGAAGGGCACACATGAGGGTTATGTCTGTGGCTACCTGGACAGTAAAAAAGAAGCAGTTTCCTGACCTTTTTAGATTCAAGGAATATCTGAACTGATATACTACACTACAATTCTCCAGACTAATTCTTCACTACTTGTTTGTGTCCCTAATGCACTTATGGTGTTACCTAGCACTGTCAGCTGGCATTAAAAGCAGAAATTGACATGAAGAGCAGTGAGGCCAGTGATACTATACTGAAATAGACCAGCAAGAGCAGTAAGTGACCACATGTTACATTGTAGAAAGCCTGAGGCTTCACCTCCAGTTTGCTGCAGCAAGAGGCTGGCACTCAAGAGGCAAAACTGACAAAAGGGAAGAAAGGAAAATCTGCATCTTTCACTCCTTGACTGTTTTACCTCAGGTGACAAGAGCAGCCCTTCTGGGAGGTGGAATGTATCTTATCAGACTGTTCCCATCTGGGTCAATGTATAAAAAAATAAACCCTCAAATACAGGGAAAACAGTGAGAAGAATAATGTGCAAGCTTTTCCACCATTCCTGTCACCCTCCAGACACAGAAAAATGTAATAGACATTGAAATTCACTTCCTCAACCAAGCAAACCAAATTCCTCTTTCAGATAACCTACGAACATTACTGGCCAATAGCAATATATCATCTATTAAACTCTGTCCAGGTTTGGAAAGAGAAAGAAATTCCAGAGCCAACTAATGAAACTGTGTCAGCATTCTCTCTGGGTTCATAGCCTTTATTGAATCAACTTGTAAATCTCTAGATCTGCGGGGCTTTTGAAAGGCTCAGTGCCCTTTACCCATATTATATCTTTCCTTTCTGGTAATGAGGGCAGAAGTCTGATTTGGGAAGTGATCCTAGGACCCTGGAGACACGGATGAATCAAGAAGCAAGAACCTACCTGAGATGCTTCAGGTGTAAAGTATTTGCATGATTGAGATCTACTTCCTAGCATCACACAAGCATTTTCAACTAAAAAAACACCTCTGTTAATGTGGGAACCTGAGACACTGAGCACTGCTTTTCTTGCGCTGCTGTAGCCCTTACAGGTTAGTGCTGAATGGGTGCTAGGAAGTGTGTGGTGGCTGGAGGAAGTGGAGAGTGTATTATATTTTCTGAAGTCAATATCTCTATTACAAACCCTTCTAGTCTTTGGTTCCTGTCTAAAGGGAACAGTTACTGGGAAAAGCTTTCAGAGCAAACAAACCCATAAACTGACGGTTGTTCTTTGTGGGGCTGGGTTGCAATGAAAATGGATTCAAGTATCTTTGAAACAGAAAATGCCAGTGCCATCGAAACCATAACTTCCTGCAGCAAGTTCCACTCCTGCTGTCAGATTCCAGTCCTGCTAGCAGATTCTCACTGTCACAGCAGTGCACCAAACCTCTGGGCTGCGACTAACCCATGTGCACATGGTTCTCCATGTGATCCAAATCCACTCCTACTAGTTCCCAACTAGCAACCATGTCTTTCCTAAACAAACCTATGGAGACTTGGAAAAGGCATCATTTCATCAGATATGTACAGCCCTCACTAACCTTTGCATTCAGATGGCTCTTACCTCTTTCTGGTGGTACTTTATTGCTACCTTTAGTTTTGCCAAATCATGACATTTTTGGGGGTCCAGCTCTTCACTTTGATCATCTCTGTGATTGAGAATAATCTCTAATTCTCGGGAACTCCGTGCTTGATCCAAAAGGTCCTTAGCAAATCGCTTGCATTGCTGAGAAAGCTCTTCATATTCAGCCTTGAACTCATTTTCCACTTTGCTGAGCTCTTTCAGCTCCCAGCCCAGTCGAAACGCTGTCAAGATGGGGTCCTCACTTGATAAGGCAATCAATGAGGGGCTGGCTAAGGCTTTGTAGATGTTCAGCCTTGACCTGGAATGCCTCAGGCTGTCCACCTCCGAACTGGAGACACACTCCACACAATTGCATCTGATCTGATGTGGGCGTGGAATAGTTACCCGTCTTTGGACAAGCAGTTTGATGATTTCATAGTTGTTGGTGTGAGCCGCCAGCATTATTGGTGTGATATCTGGAGTGAATTCTGAAAACTGTGTGTCCATCATCAAGGTTGGAACCTATATAAAGGGAAAAACCATGGTCATATTTCATTCGGGACAGCAGAAAAGTGATGTTCCTCCTTCATACTGGTATACTTTCAAAGTGATCCCATAATAAAACAAAGTTTTTATAACACCCTATGTGCCTTAAATCCTTGTGTTCATGTGCATGCATACAATTCTATTCTGGCAAAATCATCTTGCCTCAAATCTTGACTCTCTGCCCCCAGAACAGGATTAGGTTGGTGTAAAAGTAAGTCACAATCCCATTGAATGCTTTATATGTGAACTCAGTCTGAAATTGCTACTGGTTCATATACCAAAAGGAGAACTTTCATAGGAGAAAGGAAGACAAAGGCACAAGTAATTACACAGGAAGAAAAGCCTAGAAACACTGCATACATTCCCGTAACTATCATTATTTCCATCATATACATGCATTAGCAGACCAGGAACCTACTGGCAACAGGCACTATACAAACCAAACTGAACTCTGGTCCAGAGTTGAGCAAAGCTCTTCCTCACCTTTTCCCTACTATTTTTATTTGAAGTTGGAAGTGGAAGGATACATTACATAACTGCCCTCAGAATAGATTTGTTTTTATTTTAATGGGTTTGAAAAAAAATTTAAATGTAAAATTAATGAGCCATAGTCCACTACAAATAAGACACTCCAGGGTGTGCATTATTCAGCTACCATTGCACTTCTCAAAAGATGAGCTTAATGCATACCCTGTTGTGTCTTATTACTATATGCAGAGTGCAAAATTAGACCAAATGCTCTTACATCCCAAGCACACAGTGTGTTTCCATTTGCAGCACAGGCAGCTCTCTTTGTTGTGTGTTAATCATTACTCAGGCATACTGTACTTCATGTGCCCACCACTCCTGCCCCGGCAGCTGGCATCCTGCTGCTCAGGGGGTGATTGCTGGTTTTGGTGAACAGTAGGTCTGCTTCCCCTTGCAAATGTCAAAGGCATTTCATAGAAACAACTGTCAAAGAGTTCTAACGACAGGAAACATTACTCAGTCCGTAAAAAAACAAGAGTAAAGTAACGACAATTAGCATGTAGCAAGCAGCTAGCAAGCTTTCTGTGGGCTAGATGTAAGACAGGTTGTGAGACAGTGAACCTCTGACCACTGAAACTGATTTCCCTAGGAGTGAATTGCCTGTGTAGCACTAAAATGCTGAGGACTCCTGGGCAGGTGCTGATTAATAAAGCTCTACATGCAGCAGGACTCAGACTATTCACCATGCAATGCTTTCCCAAAGGCCAGCAGCACACTGAGGTATGGGGTCATTTACTGGAGCAGGGCACACTGGGAGCCTAGAGGCATTCCTGGAAATGCTATGAGTTTGCTACCCCAGGGGCAGCATATGAGGAGTTAAATCACACACAGGGGCAGTCATTGGTAACAAGGCTCTTCCCACAGAGGCAGTCAGAAGGGAATCTATAAATACAATTCATGGCAGGGAAAACAGAGAACTGTAGTGATGGTTTTCTGCAGGTCATGGAGGGCTTGGTGTCTCTGTGCAAGGTTGGATAATGGTATTTTAAGATCTGTGGTAACAAACTGCTGAAAGCAGCTCTCTTTGTAAGGTCTGTGACATTCTTTCTTTTCCTTTGCTTAGCTGGTTTAGGTAGTTTTTTAAATGTCAAGAGAAAGGTGCATGTTCCTCTTTTCTTTCTCTCTCTGAAGTGTTTTTAAGCCCTGCTGCTTGCATAACTGCCTTTATCTTTCTTCTCCTCTTTCTCAGTCAGTTGCTGGCTGCTGCGTTCAGAGCCTCTGCCTCAAAGGGAAGAGCGCTTTCCCCATCTCTATCACCCCTATTACTGTCAAGTTTAATCTTGTTTTCCTGTATGGAAATTACTGTACCCAGAGCTGTAAAAAGAATTTTCAGCTTTGTACAGATGAGGTATTCTTGTTGCTCAGCAAAGGGAAAAAGCCTTGTAGACAAGGTGATAATGTTACAGGTGGGGACAGGGCTACAGGGCTGAGTGTGTCTGCTACTGTCCTGCTCCTGAGGCTTCCTAAACCTGGATCCAGGGCTCTCAGAAGAGTTGTCTCGAGTCATGGGATCAGACTGAGGGTATCTGCCAACTGATCTCCCATCCCTTACTCTGGCTGCTATCACAAGCCCTACCCTCACAGTGAAGCTCTGCTTTGGTAGGAATGAGGCAGCCACTCAGTAAAAGATGTATTTGCCTGGGCAGCTTGCAGCACTTTAATTAAAAGGACAAGAAGGGCAATGGCAGTGCAGAGAAACAGGGGCTCTCTGGAGCCTGGAAACAGATCGGCCTAATGCTTCACATTACAGGAACTGAAGCTCACTGCTGATTATAGCAGAACAGCAAAACAAAGCAGCAGAACACAGAGCAGGAACTGTGTAAGGGATGGCTGCTGTGGCCTCTTCCCTGTGTCTAGGTGACCGAAGGACCATGCATTAGCCAAAAATGACATGGCTCGCAGTGATCATTTTTGTTGTTGTCTTGCACAGCTCTTTGATAACTTGCATCTTAATGAACAAACTGTCATGTTTTCGAGATGGGGCTATGCAAGGAAAGCCTTTGCTCCTAAGGCTACTGTCACCAGAGGGGCAGCAGATTTTAAAACAAGATGTTGTAATTGCTGATGTTCCTCCTGCACTACTGACAGGTTGAGTTCATGTTTAGATCAGCTTTTTCTGTGTCTTGGGTTAAGTTAGAGTGATGGAAGCAGAAGAGGAATAAATTATTTCACCCTCAGAGGTCTCTGCTAAGCTTTCCCAAGGTTATTTTCATTAAGTGACCTGAATAACAAATTCTTTTCCATTAACCTCACCAGCTGACACAAGCTCTTAAGCTGAGTCCTTCAGAACCTTACTGTCAGTGCTTGCATAGGAGCATGTGCCACCCCTGTAGTTTATCTTAGTAATGTTCGCTCAAGAAATTGATGCCACTACTAACAACTAGCAATCAAATGCTTGGTACCTTCTTTCTTGGATTAATCCTCATAAATGTAGGCTGCTCAGCACTATACCACTGCTTCTCTGAACGATACCGCAGTGAGTGAAAAATCTCATTTAAAATGGAGGGCAGGGTGAAACAAGCTTAGTTCTGTAGAGCAGAAGAAGCTGGAGGATTACCTCACATAAAAGCACTGTTCAGTGTGGCAGAGCTCTCCTCTGAGCAAAAAAACCAAAAGTTTTCTGCTAAATAGCACGCTGCTGGAAAGAAGCTCTGGATAGGAAAAGCAGGAATCACTGCTCAAGCTAGTAACTAGTATGGTGTGAAAGGGGAAGAAATATCAAGAAGAAGGAAAAAACAACAACAACAAAAAACAACAAACCAATCTGATACTGAAAAACTGAAGGCTGTGATTGGCCTTTTAACAGCTTTACTTTGGTCTAGATCTAGAGTAGTATGAGTGCCTCCAGAGCACAGCGTCTGGGTCAGAGTGGTGAGAAGCAATCCAGCTGAAGGGTTCTATGCTGCTCAGCAATGTGAACCAAAGCAACCTGAATGGAGGGGACAAAGAGATACCTCAGATGGAGGCAAAGTAAATACAATGTTTAAACACTGAAGAATTTCAAAGCGAGCTACAGTGCTTATACAGTATCATCCACTTCAGCAAATAAGGACAAGTAGGTGAAAAAAGCTGTTCAGGAGAGAAACTTGCCATCAGGTTAACAATATTCAGCTTTGATGAAGGAGCCTGGCTCTGTCTACTATTTGAGAATGACTTTCTGTTTGTCTTCAGCCTCTTTGTACTGACAGTCCTCCTAATTACAGCCTGGTAACCCTACTACCAAGTCTCCTCCATGTACAGGGCTCCACAGTGCTCACCCGGACTGCAGTGCTTAAAACTGCTGTTTCCCCAGGTAAAACCCTTAGTGCTCCAGGCCTGAACTGAACAGATCATGCAGCAAAGCCTAAGCACAAACCCCTTCACTCCCAGCTCTGTTCATCTGTCAGCAAGCTTCTTGGGTCAGAGGCTGCTTAAATACACATCTTGTTTTGAGATGCACTGAAAATGTTCATGAGGAGTGCTACTACTTCTACTTGTTACAGATGGAGTTGACACATTCTCAGGCTATCTCAGTTCTGTAAACTAGCACCATACCTGGGCCACTGTAACAAACGGTGAGTATAACCACAACAAAATGTAAATATACTGGTCAACATTATTTTCAGCTAGGATAACCTTTTGATTGGGCTCTGATTATAGATGTTTCTCTAAGTGTCAAAACAATGCTTTATTAAACAAAACAAAGTCAAACAACTTCATGGAAGATTTAAATGCAATGCAAGCAGAAAAGGAAGCTTGGTTAGTTTTTTGAGCAAAGATTACCTATTTGCAGTTTATTTTTCTGTATGCAGCCCTATGGGGGAAGTGCATACACCATCCATGAGCACTGTCGCACTGTACGACAATTGCTGTCATTCTAGAAAGATTTTGTACTACGTCAATTCAGCATGAGGCTCAGTGGTCAGAAGGAGCTTTAGCAGTGACTATTTTGTTCAGAATCGCAGTCATGTGGCACTTTGAGACGCAGCTCTATAAATAGAGAATGAGTGACAGTGTTGCTAGACTGCAGATCAGCCATGTTACCAGCAAAAGTGTTGTGGAAAAATGTCTATTGTGGTGATGCGACCATTCTCAGCTTGCTCCTTGCCTAAGCCCAGAAACAAACTATTTAATTGACAGAACACCATGGGCAACTGTGGGGCTCAGGGGAAAATGCTGCACACTTCTAAAAACCCAGGCATCCATTTTAGGTGGTACAGTAATGTTGATTTCAATAACTGAATATCTTCATCAGGCATTCCTTGGGAGACATCTTTTATTACTGAGAATGATGGCAGTTTCTATATTTAAAAGGGTGTTGTCTTTTTTAGCTAAATAGCAATTCACTGAATATCATTTCATTAATGAAATATATTGAGCAGCACAAACTGATAATGAAGTAATGTACTTTAAGGGGTTTTGTATTGGTTATGAGTAAGTTCTTATCTCTGGCACAAAGACTGCTTCGT